TGACGTTTTGTACAGGGTCACCGTAATTAGTATTTCATTCCGTTATAATTGTAGCCACAAGCATTTCTTTTAGGCTACCAGCTGTTTTTTTTTTTGGCGGATTTTTCGTTGAAATTGAGGGTAGAAAATGAATGGATTCTATTTTGTAAATAAAACGTGTCTTGTTGCACATGCGGTAGCAAATGTATTTATTTGTCACAGTAAAATGGAAAAAGTGATCTTGCATCAAAGAAAAAAAAGGAATTTTTATATTTAGAGCACACATGGAAATATATCATACTCTCACTGCTCTAATTTCGCAAGAAAATAATTCTCCATGCTTTCAATTTTATTTTTATGATGCGGGGGATGCTGATCAACCATACCTTGATGATATTGTTCTTTGTAATATTTTTCAAAGAATAAAAGTAGTTAATCAATTCTTCAAGTACAAGTGTTTCTCCTCAACTGCTTCTTTGTAATATATTTTTAAGTTGTTTGTAATTTGCAGTTTTACTTCGGTTCGGTAAAAGTTTATTAAAGTTTTACTTCTATCAATCTCACAAACAACTTTGTTTTTTTTTTCCTACTTTTATCAATTTAAATAATTAAAATATTCAACCATATGCAACGCACGTGCTCCTCAGCTAGTTGTTCTAAAATATCGCGGTTACATATAATCGCACTCAGCAACTTGACCGCATGATCTCTCAGTTACTACGACGGCACAAAAAGTTAAAGCGCCAATCAGTGAAGAGAACACCAGTGACTTCATAATTTCAAAGTTCGGTGAACTGCTACATCGCTTTCCAGGAGGAGTGGGTTGAACTAGTCGTCCCTCGTTCTTTAGGTTTTTTTTTTTTAATTTGTTAATAATTAGGGATGCAGTGAGTTGGGCAGACGATGATGATGATGATGATGACATCTCATCTCTCTCCTCTACACGCTCTAATTAGAGAGGCGCTACAGGGACACTCTAAGGCACACCACCAACCATACTCTCTCTCTTTACAGTACAGGGAGCTCCACATGTGATTTTTTTAAAAAAATCACATGTGGGCCCCCTGCACTGTAGAGAGAGAGGGAGTGTGATTGATGGTGTGCCTTAGAGTTTCTCTCTATCATTTCTTCTCTAATTATTACGCTCCTTGTTTCCATTCTGCGAATTGTTGCCACGAATCATGGAGACGGGCAAAAGCATCCCTGTGAGAGATTGGAGCGGTCTTCGGTGAATAGGTCTCTTGTTTTGCGTCGTTTCATAATTTTCTTGTTTTTATTTCCACTCGAACCCTCAAATATTACGCTCAAAAACTTCTTTTAGCTTGTTGGGCCAAGCCCACGGAACCTGCCCTTAGTATATAAGACCCGTCTAGAACGAATACTCAAGGAGAATGGTTTAGGTAATCCGTTTACTTATTGAATAAAGAAGAATTAAATAGGTGGGCATGCTCAGATAGTATTTATTTGGTTTAGTTGATGATGTCAGAAACTTAAATAAGAGGATTGGAGTGGATTTGGAAGAGGTTAGGATCCCTCGGTCCTCTTTGATGACTGATCACTTTGAACAGAAGAATATTCCTGCGCAAATATGGAACATTAGAGGGTCGAAGTTAAGTTCTCCGGTGGTTCCTCTGACGATCAAACTAGCGATGATATTAAGGGGAAAAAAAGTATATGAAAGAAGTAGTTTTCTATAGTAGAGAATATTGTGCCTTCGTTTAGAAAATAATCTGCCTACTTATAGTGAACCAACAACGGTACTTGGGTAATTTTGGTTAGGTCTATGCAATTTACTTAGTCAACCAGACACTTTTCACACATTGGCAGTGGGTGATCCAAGTTATCCTTGCGTCTAAGGGCCTGTTTGGTTATTTCCTAAAAACCAAGAAAAACCAATAAATGGAAATGGAAAAAGTGAAAATCTCAAAAAGTACTATTTCCTCCATTTCCATCCCTAAAACTCACCCACAACATCCAATAAAATATTATTTTCATCTAACAACTCATCCACATCATCTAATAAAATATTATTTTCATCTAACCACTCATCCTTCACATCTAATAAAATATTATTTTCATCTAACAACTCATCCATCACATCTAATAAAATATTATTTTCATCCAAACATCACTCAACTCATCTCTTTTCATCATTTCAAATCATTCACATCATCCAATAAAATATTATAATAATTCACCTCATCTCATTAACATTTCATTTCTTTGTTTTCATCCCAAAAAGTTGTGAAAACACTTTTCTTAATCTTGGATCACATCACCCAATAATACAATGACAACTCATATCATCTCATGTCATTTCTTATTTTTAAGAATGAACCAAACCAAAAGAAAACAACAAACTACAGGAAATAGGTTTCTTATAATTCATTTCCTTATTTTTTTCGCCAACCAAACAACATCAAAACTAGTTTTCTTAAAAAATCACTCACATCATCCAATAATAATATGACAACTAACATCATTTCATCTCCATTTTTTTGATTTCCTTCTTTTTTTAGTCAACCAAACACTCCCAAACCAATTCTTCATTTTAATAGTTTTCCATTTCTTTGATTTCTCTTTTTTTTTAGTAAAACAAACAGGCCCTAATGCGATGACAACAGAATGACTAAGACAACAGAATGACTAAGATGCAAGAATGGTCCAAGGACTCATTATGACTTCGGTGGAGGAGTAATTATGGCTCTGACCATGCATCTAATGCGACGGTGACTAGCTGACGTCGCTTAGAAAGATGAAGCAGATAGGTTTCCTCATGGTTCAAGATGCGCAACCGGGTCCGAGTGAAGACGCCTTTAATCTTGATCCTTCGAGAGAGCCTGAGTGAGGACGCATTTTGTATTGGGCTTTTGAGAGAAAGCCCGGGTGAGGACTCCTTTCGTCTCGGTTTCCTTGAGAAGGTCTGAGGGAGGACACTTTTCACCTTGGTTCTCAAAGTGCTTTAAAGAGGGGGAGCCGGTACTTGTGAGACTTGGGTCGGGTTGGTGTATCAAGTTTGAGTTGGCAAATCGGGACACATGCCATTCTCTTAAGAGTATTTTCTACTTAGCATTTTCTTCTATGATATAACAGATAGACTCCTATACTATGACTCAACTATGAATAGACCATCTGTAGCACTATTTGTGCAGATAAACTCCCTAAATGAACTTTTTTGCTCTTTTAATTGTAAACAAATTATTGATATTTGGCGCGGGGCTGGGTGATGTTCCATCCGTATTTTGGAAAATATATAAAATTAACTTTATTCACCATAATTTTCTGGTATTTGACCGGTTAAGATGGAGTTAACTCTTCTTAATTCCTCACTAAATTCCCATAAGAGAAGCATCCCAAGAAATATGAACATTTCACACATGGAATGCTTGGGTAGAAAAAAGAAGAGAGAGAAGCCTATACAATTTTCATCCTGTCATTCCCGGGTCGAAAGTCGGCCCACTTTGTTTGAATTTTAGCCCAAGTTCGAGAAATATTTAATTAAGTTGCCCTTTGGCCCCTTTCTAACTATTATGGACACCACCCAATTAGCGGTTAGCAATAATGATCTTTTCATCGAGAATCCTCAATCAATAGGGATCGTCAACGTCGACATCTGCATTTCCTACTCACTACTCGTCCATTCCCTTATTAGGCTACGTTTAGTTTGAGGTAAAGGAATGGAAAAGAAAAAGAAAAAGAAAAGGGAAGGATTAAGAAAGGAAAAGAAAAAGAAAAGAAAATAAATTTATTTTTGTTGGTTGGTTAGGAAGAAATTTATAAAGAAAACTGGAAATAAAATAATGATTCAATAAAAATTGGATAGAAAATATAATTAACTTATATTACAAATGATCTCTATTAGTAAGTTTTTTAAATTTCTTTTTCTAAATGAGAATTGGTAGAAGTGTTCCCGTGACATAGTCTTGGATAGATAAATAGTATATAAGTGTGAATTTTGTTGCTGTTCGATTAGTTATTTTTTCTATTTATTTAATAAATTGTGTGATTAAATTTGGTTGTTAAATTAGATGGCTCTCACACAATATCTAAACAGGAGAAATGTTGTAGAGAGGTTGCGGTGGTGACGACGAGAGCACGAGAAGACGCTAACGAGCAGCACGAGAGATTTACTTACTGACTGAGAGAGAAATTATGGGCCGGAACATTTTTTTTACAAAGAATATGGTAATTAAGCTGGAGAATAGTGAAGGCTTTTATCAAAATTAACCCTATTTAATTTCTCTGATCGCCAGCCCAAATCACCTGTCCCACACGAGGGCCTCTCTTGGGGGCTGTTTGGTTATTTTCTGAAAAAAAGGAAATGAAAAACTCACATCTCAACTCATTTCAAGAGATTTGACGATATTTCCCGTATTTTTTTTGTTTGTTTCGCAAAGAAATCACTGTCACGTCACCGTCATGTCACATAAGAAACAAATCTAGCAGCAATAGTAACAATGTTTCAATTTCCATTTCTTGTGTTTGTTTGAACATAAAAAAATGGAAATCAGCCGCAATAGTAACAGTGTTTTCAATAATTAAATAATCTTTTTTATTTAGAGTCACCGTTTTAACCGTGCTTTTAATAATTGAAAATTCAGTAAAATGACATTTCCAATTGTTTTCAGAGGTTTTTATTGCGAAAACACTTTTTTCTCAAAAATCTGACGTGACATCCTACGTGACACCCTCATTTCTTTAAATCACAAAACGAAACAAACATATGATTTGAAAATCGGTTGAAACCAAAAACCTACGTGGCATGGAGGAATTTCTTAAAATCTGACGCGGCGGGGGTTTCTCAATTTTTTAACAAACAAACAGCCCATTAGGTTCCCAAAAAGAACTATTTAGCAGCTATTCATAGCGGGGCCCGCGTGTCACTAGCGCCGGCCCAATTTGTTGCCGAAGCGGATAGATCTACGGACGGAGAGAAGTCCCCGAGCGGAGCCCCGGGCCGACATTTTTTTCTCTCATTTCACCGCGTCAGGGTGAGGAAAATTAAAGTGAATATCTTTTTTGAGTTTTTCTTCTTCTTCTTCTTTTGGATTCCTTTGTTTTCATTTTCTTTTTATATTTCTTTCTCTCTAACCAATCAAGTGAAACCTATTTCTTTCCCAATTTTCTTTTCCTTTTCCTCATTTTACTTCGAAACAAACAGACCCTTATTAAAGTCCCACGATTCCGGCCACCAAAATTTCGATCTAGGGTTTCGATCATCTTATAGAATTAAGAAAATTTAGCTAAACTTCGTTTAATTCTTCGCCAATTTTAGTTCGAGAATCGACTAGCGATGGCAGTTGAAGCCGAGCAGCGAGAGTACGCCCCCAAGAGCAAGAAGCCGTCGGAAGAAGAGGAGAAGAGGTATTTTTTTTTTTATATTTCATCATCTTTCTCTCTGTAGGATCACTGATTGCGTTAGGTTTTGATGTGAAGAACAGCGATGGATTCATTTTTTTATTGAGAAATTAGCTGGCAGTTGGTTAAGATTTGTTGTTCTTGTTTGGATCTTTAGGAGGAAAAAAGTGACACCGGGAAGTTTGATGAAAGCAGTTGTCAGACATGGCGGCGGCGATGAAAAGCCTGTTGACAAAGATCAGGTATAATTTTGAATAAAGATCTGGTATAGTTTTGAAATGCGAAACCGGAGAAATTTGCACTTAGTATTTCTGATTATGAAAATAGAGACTGTTATTGGGCGTTTGTTAATTGATTAAGGAAGAGAAATGTCATAATGTTTATTTTATGCCAGCCAACCTTAGAAAAATGTCTTTAATTGAATAGTTATGATGGGGTTAATTTGATCATTGGTCACTATATTTATCTTATAATTGGACGCTCATACCTATGTTTTAATTTCTTAGATGACCGGTCATGTAACTAATGGGATCGCTAGTGACTTCTAACATTTTTTGTCAATTTAAGTTGTAAACTTTCATTTTATTTTCAAGCAATGCAGTTTACTCAATATGTCACAAGTTAATATTTTCAAGAACAAAATGCAAATGCTACATCATTACCCAATACAAGTTGCCAGATATGTCACAAATTTCATTTTCATAACTGATCAAGATGTCGCACATAAAAAGTAATCCGTTATATCAGATGATCAAGAATTCTTTTTTGGGAAAATTTGCAAAATAGACCATTTTTATAAAATATATAGCGAAATAGACCACTTTGTAAAATAATTAGCAAAATAGACCTCTTTTGAAAAAAAGAGGTCGATTTTGAAAAACAAGGCTCAGAAAACATACGGGACTACTAGTCCCGTATGTTTAGAGCCAACTAATCACGGATTAGTGACTCAGAAAACATACGGGACTAGTAGTCCCGTATGTTTTCTGAGTAGAAAATTTCACTATTCCGTGATTAAAACATACGGGACTACTAGTCCCATATGTTTTCTGAGCTGTTTTGCAAAATAGACCTCTTTTTGGCCTGTTGGCCAAAAAGAGGTCTATTTTGCTAATTATTTAGCAAAACGGTCTATTTTGCTAAATAATTAGCTGCTAATTATTTAGCAAAACGGTCTATTTTGCTAAATAATTAGCAAAAACAGTCTATTTTGCAATTTTTCCCTTATTTTTTCCATGTCAGCTAATCAATTGACGAAAAACATTATAAGTGGTTAGTGGTCCAATTGGTATTTTAATTAGATGACCAGTAATGCAAGCAATAAAGCATAGGCATGAACGTCCAATTATGAGATAAGCACAATGACCAGCAATCCAATTTACCCTTGTTGATGATATAGTAGATGGGCATTTGCATTAGAATATTAGCATATGATTGATTTTCTGGATTTTTTTGAGATATATTTCGATGTACAATAATGTATTTATGCTTGCAAGTTCGTGCAAGTTTCTAAACTGATAACAGCCTCTATTTTGCTTGCTGATGTATACTTGTTTGTAAATTGATACCTCTGAACGTTGTTTTACAGGTTATATATCATTGTACTATTCGAACACTAGAAGGAGTTATTGTTCACTGCACCAAGTCTGAACATGGAGGTGAGTCTCATTATTATCTCTTAGGTCTTATATAGTGATGAATTTATTATTTTCTCTATGCCTTTCCTCTGATATATGTAAATTCATTTGTTTTAATTTGATGTTTGGATGAGTATATGAGAGAACCAATTAAATAGCATCCCAAAAAATATGGAGTATTATAAAACAGATAAGCATAATATGCTTTTCTATACACCCTATGATCTCTGAAACGGATGACTATGCACAATCTAAATGCTGAAGTTTGTCACATTTATCATGCAAGTCATCTGGTTCTTTGGTTCTTTGCTTTAGGAACTTGGGCCATAAATTGACCTCCCGAAACTTTGACCAGCTACTGAAACTCAGTACTCTTGCAATCTCGTTGTTATCTTGTTCTGCTTCAATATTTTTGGTCTATTATCCTAGTGTGCTTCTGCCATTATCTTTACTTGCAAAAGTGATAGGCTTTTGTGACTGTACCAGGTTGTTGAAAGTACATCGTGCATCTGGGATCATAGTTCATATAGGATTGGACGGTCATCCAAATAGCTTAGTCAGCTCTTGCCAGCGAAAAAAAAAAAGTTAAAAAGAAACGCAAAGTGCGAACCCTTCGATTGACTAATAATGTTAATGACTAAAGTATTTTTTTTTTCTCTCCAGTAGTTATTCAATATGCTTAAGGTAAACACTTTCCAATGAGCAGAGCTTTTGAAGCTGTAAAAATTAGCCAACATGTGTCAGATGAAAATCAGAGGATAAGAAAAGACTGTACTATCATCAAATGGTCAATTATGTTGTTCCATCCTGTATGGATTTAATATATGACTATTTTCAATATCTTTAACGGAGGTGTGACTCTGTAGGTAGCTTGCCACGGCAACCTGATGGCAGTAATTATAGTTTTCAGCTAAGATTGTTGAGAGATTTACTAGACTTTGCTGTTAATTTAACGACACAGGAAAGGGTTATCCTATCAGACAAGTCTTGGGGAAGAGCAACATGATACTCGGACTTTCTGAAGGCATTCCCACCATGTTGAAGGGTGAAGTGGCATTGGTATTACTTTAGAGTTGTTTAATCCATTCATACAGGAAAGGGTTATAACATTCATTACTTCTTTGCTACTCTAACATCCTTGAATTTAACAGTTCAAGATGAAACCTGAGATACACTATGCTGAGGATGATTGTCCTGTTAGAGCACCAGAGGACTTTCCTGTCGATGATGAACTTCATTTTGAGATTGAGATGCTGGAATTTTCTAAAGCCAAGGCAAGAATGCGTGTGCATATACTGCATTTGTAATACTACTTTTAATATCTTAAGATCTGCTTAGGTGAATTCCTCTTATTTTATGCTGTTATGAAAATGATCTATTTGATTTGTTTACTGTATTATTAGTCCTGGTTTTAATCTGCAATATATGGCTGTAGTGGTGGCATCTGTTGAATTAATCTCGATTTTCACGTGTCACAAGCTTTTGTGATAAAGAATTGTATTTTTAGTATTTTTGCAGTCATTTGTCTGATGCATGTCATATTAAATGCACAACATTAACATATTAGGTATTGTTTCTGCATACATTTTGCTTGCTCCTACATGTCTGTTAGTTAAGTATATAATTTCAAGCTCATCATGTTTTTGTGGGGGAAGGCAATAAACTTTTACTCCATATTCATGAACTATATGGACCTTGGGATATCCATTACTAATTTAACCAATGTCTACTGTTGATTGACTTAATAAATTTTTTCCCATGGTATGTTTTGAGAAACATCCATATGTTTTGTATCCCTTCTTCTGATGTTATTATGTAATCCTTCTCTGGTGTGTAAGTAGTAATTGTACCCTTCTGCTAATTACTAGCTTGAATAATACTAGTCTGTTGCCATTCTTTTCTCACCAGCATTCTATTCCTATTTCCTACCCATCACTATTTTCTGTTTTCCTGTTTCATCCTGATATTCTGTATTCATACTCTAATTGGTTATTTCACCAATTTAGCTTGTAGCACAGAGACCGTAGTGATTTTTGTTCATTGTCTTCTAATTCCACCCTCTCATGTATAAATCCATAAAACATGTAGCTGACCTAAGATGAATAGGAGAATAGCATAACAGAGTTCTCAACAGGCTAAGATGTTCAATGCTGTAAAGTCCGGGGGTTTAAAACTCAACTCCAGATAAATAGGAGGACAAGGCTTTTCGTAAGTTAGCTGATCGTCTGGATAAATTTTGTTGGATTCCGTGGATGATCAGGGATCACCAAGAATAGGATAAGTTTTTGTTGCCACTGCTGTAAAAACGTATGTATGTTGCTGACCTTTAGTACTTAACAAGTTATTGCCGACCAGAAAACAAATAGTTATACATTTTTTCTGCATGCGACATTTGTACTTGTTGGCCTGAATACCATACTTAACAGTTCTGAAAACATCATTGCGATGCAATACTTCTACATTGCAGGAAAGAAAAAGGTAAATTTCAGTTGGGATCAAAAGGACAATGAGCTCTTATGCATGTTATTAATGAGCATGTATAGTATTATTCTAATATTAGCCATGCTGTTTATTTTCCCTTTACTCTAATATGTGTCTTTCGGAACCAGTTAACCTGTTTGCTGGTTCTTACAGGTTATCACTGAGGACTTGGGAATTGTGAAGAAGGTATTTTGAGCTTTTAAGAATCAGTTTGTTTAACACCTCTATAGAATGTGTAGGTGGTCCCTCACAAGTGACTTTATAAATGCACTGCCCCATACCTTTGTTTTGCCCTCATTTGATACATTGGTCATCCTTCCACTCAAGTTTGTTTACATCCTAAATATGATGCATATTGAAGATGCATGCTTGTGAAATATCATCAATTTTGATGTGGCTTTAAAACGTTCTAAATATATTTGTGTCTATTTAGACAATTACTGAAGGCCAAGGATGGGAATGCCCGAGAGAACCTTATGAAGTAATATCCAGGTGAATACCCTTTTCTGTTCACCCCCTTTTTGTGTGCCTATCTTTCTAGATAAATTTCTTATACTTAGTTCACTGCATTGATTATACGTCATAAGTCGCATTCGGCATGCATGCTCGTCTAAATTTAGACTGTTGTACCAACATGAAATCTTATATTTGTAAGTCATCATATAAGTGTAAATTTTCATTCTTGTGTTGTAATGTATACACTCATCTAGGATGGCAAATGGGTAAGTTGGGCTTGGGTCAACGGAATTTGACACATTCCCCATGAGGCGATTCTACAAGAACCATTCGCTAAATAGGTGAAGTATCCTCCCCCTTACCCATACCCGGAGATAAATGGGTACCTCTACTTACCCCGCCTAATCTACTTAGTAAACAGGTTAGAGGGCTGGATGCAAGACAGACATAGGTACCTAAATTTCTCTCTATCAGTTAAACCTGAAAGTTTGTGATTTGAAAACTCGGCAGGCTAAAAGTATAAGCTCTCTTTGTGTTTTCCTCTGTTTCCCCCCTTTCTTTCCTTTTTTTTTTTTCTAAATTTCCTCCTCACACTTCTTTTCTTTTCTTCCTTGTTCTCTAGATTTCCATTTTTTCCCGTTCTTTTTATTCTTTTATCTTGCTGCCAGCAGTGTTTTGGAAAATCTTTAGACCTAGTTACAGTAACACAAGTTGACACGCCATTTTGTTTTCCCAACTCGTGTGAACCATCTCTGTAATAAGGTGGGGTGGTCAAAATGAAGTTTTGAATACTCTTTACATGTTATATTATCACTTTTATAACTGAACAATCATGCCATAAAGAACAACATATAGTACACCAACATTTAAAGTGATGTTAAATCTTATTGTGACAAACAATTTTAACCTCCCTTTTTATTTGAAGGCCATCAATACAGAAATCTGATATTTCCATACCCAATGATAGACTGCAAAACTAGTAATCTGGCTGATACCGTAGCTACAAGAGGGACCAATATTTCTAATTTCAAAACCTTGATAGTAAACAATATGCTTCTATAAATCTGATTTCCATCTGATTGTATGCATAACTTCAGTACACAGCACTTTATAATTTTGATATACATAGTTTTGAGTACAAACCTGATTTTTTTGATTTTCCAGGATTGTTGCAAAAGCTGTTAGCGGAAAGGTGATTCTGCCACAGAAAGCTGAACCTTATTGCTTTACATTTGGTAAATCAGAGGTTGGTACTCCAGTCTTTGCAGTTGTTTGTTTTTTACTATTGTACCAGGCATGTGCAAATCACACCAAAAAGCAAGTGGAACAGGAAAAAAGAGAGAAATCTACGTACTTAAATATTTATTTCCTGATTATTAGCCTGGAAAGGACTCTACAAGAATTTCCTGATTGTTGGTTCAGTAGATCAAATTTAATATATGGTAGAAGTTTCGATCAGACTTCATCATAAGATTAAGTTAAGCAACGAAATGGAATCAAGATGTAAGCACCATGCAGTAAGTGGAAAAGAATACATATATTTTGCACTTGTATTGGACTATAGGTGTTGTTTATGATGGATCAAACCATTGCATATTTCTCTACCAAACTAGATATTTATAAGTTGAGCATTTTTATGGAAGGTACCTATGGTTTCATGATTACTGTATTTTAAAGATGAACTAAAATAGGAAAATAAATTAGATTGCTTTAAATTTGATCTGTTCAACATCTTTTTAGAACCAAACCATCATCGGAGTGTTGTGTAAGAAGTAATTAACTTTTTGAATATGTAAAATGCATATGATTTCAAAATGTGCATTGGTCTTTTTTTTTTGTACTTGACATGGAGTCTTAGTCCGTCAAAAGCTCAAGTAGATTTAAACTTAGATATCATTCATTAGATAGTTCAAACAGTAAGGAGCTAACCCATAAGATACCTAGCTGGGGAACAAGGATTCATGTAGTTGACCCTGAAGATTTAAGATAAATGTCTCTTTGGCAGTGTAATAACAATTTAAATTTTCACAAAATTCTTAGAGCTATAAAAACTATTAAGCATGGAACTGTGTCAACCGTTTTCTTTTTCCCCCTTTCTTGTGGTCTAGGCTAGTAAGTGTCATGATCTCAGCCAACATACTTGCCCATGCTTTACTAAGTTCTGGTGTAAGTAATTCGAAGCAGGTGATATGTTACTCTTTAAGTGTTATACTACTAGCGGACCTGGTATGCGGAACGGGTAATGCAAAGTCAATTTGGAATGTAACGAGTTTGATAACAGATACATAGCTAACTTAAATTTTCCATACGTGGAGCATGTTTCATGATGTTTTAATTATCAAATGATTTAATTCCCCAGACAGCCAATTTTGGCGTACGGAATTTTGTTTTTCACATTCAAGTTCTTTTTGTGACGGTAGATTTTATTTGACACTGCTTAATAGGAGTGGTTAGATAGTAGGAGTTATAAAGACAATTAGACTTTAGAGTAATTGCTTCTGACATTTTAAGTAGGTGTTTGCTCGCCTCCTGAGTTATAGTACATTTTGCAGATCTGATTAGGCTGCATTGTTTTTGTGACTTGACTTCTGCGACTGATTGATTGTTGTTGAGCTGAATACAATTTAGTTTAATTATTCAAGTTTGGTTGCTACTGTTGCAATAATTTTTCCTTCTTCACATGCCTTTTATTCTTGATATATTTAGTTTAGGTACCAAAAGGACTTGAAATGGCAGTTGGGACAATGACACGAGGAGAGAAGGCAGTAATTTTTGTTAGTCACAGCTACTTGACGGGATCTCCTTTGATGCCAATGGTAGAAGGCGTGGAAGAGGTTGAATTTGAGGTGGAGCTGGTTCATTTTGTTCAGGTATGCAGAACATAAATATAGTAGTTGATAATTGATTGTGCCAAGATAGTTGTTTAGTCTTTATGGGTGAGGGTATATGCTTTAGTAGTCTAAGTTGCTCGTTTCTTTAGTTTCCATTTATGTGCAATCATTGTTTCCGCCTAATTTTTCATTCAGGAATCTAAATAAAAGATAATGTCTCCTTTTCTTAATATGAAGCTTATGATACTCAGTGGTGGATCATCTTCTGTTATTACTTCTTCTGCAATACTATCTAATCTAAAATTTGAAATTCTGAAATGATAGGTGCGAGACGTGCTTGGTGATGGGCGTCTTATAAAGCGCCGTGTGCTTGATGGAAGAGGTAATCTCATATTCCTATGAACTTTGATTTTAATAAACTTGTTGTTGGGATTATTTTCTTTAGGTCCTTGTATGTTCTATTGCTGAATGTTATATTCTACTATAAAAATACAGGTTTAATATGGACTTCTTCTTCTTTTTCTTTCATTTTTACTATCTTATTGGTTATTATGTAGTTGCCATGAAGAGCTATCATTTTGAAAATCATACCACAGTGTATAATATTTGCTGTATATATTCAAATCTCTGATGATTGCATCATACTTTATCTATGAATTTAGGCTGACTGATGTTTGCATAATGTGCACATGCATTTGGTAAATTTTACTTTATTTTTGAAGACATGAATTTAGGCTGACTAATATTTGAAGACACATACACTGTTCTGGATTTAGCTATAACATTTTACTTTATTTTTTTCTGTGTACGCTGCATTTGGTAAATTTTCTAACTTTTTAGAAATAATTAGGCGAGTTTCCTATGGATTGCCCTCTTCATGATAGCTTACTGAGGGTGCATTACAAAGCAATGCTTCTTGATGAAGAAGAAACTATATTTTATGATACGAAGGTTGACAACCATGGCGAGCCTTTGGAGTTCAGTTCTGGAGAAGGGCTTGTAAGTATCTCCCTTGACCTCCTTATCTGTTTCTAATCTAAAAGAAAGGAGTTGAATATTTAGTGTGAGGCTTGCATGCTTATTTTCTGATTACAACAGTAACTGCCACTGTTACTGAAAGGCTTGTAATGGCAAATTTGGATGATTTGGAAATATCTGGCTATGAGAACTAAGAATCTTTGCACCACGAAAAACCAATAAACAACCTATGTTACAAGTTATTATTGTTTGGTTTCTAGTTCTTTTAAATGTATCATCTGACAATGCAGTCTGTCTCGATTTCTTTCTTCCTTCAATTTTTATTTACCTTTTCGTATATATGAGTTCCTCTGCAGGTACCTGAGGGACTTGAGATGTGTATCCGTTTGATGCTTCCCGGAGAAGTTGCTGTTGTGACATGCCCGCCAGATTATGCATATGATAAATTTGAAAGGTTTAACTTTTTAAAGAATAATTAGGATTGGATTTAAGGAGTACCTGACTAGAATTTTAACAAATTTCTTTAATTAGCAGGCCTGCTGAAGTTCCTGAGGGTGCTTATGTTAAATGGGAAATTGAGCTACTTGGCTTTGAAATGCCAAAGGTAAGCCTTTGCTAGTGTCTTGGAGGTTTGAGATCCTTGTGATACATTATCCTCTATAAGAATGCCCTGTTGTCCTACTGCAACAAGTTTGAACCCAGAATGGATTAATGAGCTTTGCAGTCATTTTAAACTGCTTAGCATTTATATGATTAAGTCCATGTCACTCCCTGTACTATGCCGATCATATTTTCTTTCTTGTCTTTTCTCTTCCATCTTGTTCTTGCCTTCCAATTTGAAAATCTTAAAAGAACTGATAAGTCTAAAGTTATGTTCGTGAAGTTAGATTTTCCTTCCACATTGCATATGAACTGCCTTGTTGCTGTATTGTTGAATTTCTTCTGTTAGAACAAATATTTGAGTTAATTTTGCATGCACAAATGATACTTAAATTTTTTCTATCAAGAAAATTACTGAACGGGTAAAGTTACAGAATATATTTGTGCAGTACTTAACTTTTAGATGTCAACTATAGTGTACTGTAGTATTACTTAGCTTTGCCCTCATAAACTGAAGGAAATTAATGAATTCATTTGGTTGAGTTGAACGCTTGAAAATATCAGATTACTTATTGTCCCACAAATAAGCTATAAGAAATTCTTGAAAACACGTTTCTTTTGAAAATTCATATAGTCTCCTTAAAATTTGCATGGTTTTAATCTAAAATACAGGACTGGACAGGTTTGAACTTTCAGAGTATAATGGAGGAAGCGGACAAGATAAAGAACACAGTATGATATTAAATCAGAATTCTATTTTTTGCTTGACTTTATGCATCTGTTATGTGCACTTTTTAGAATTCAGTATGCGTCGGCATACAGTATTGTAATCATCTTCATATCCATGCTGTGTCCATACGACATAGCTAGTAGTTGTGACGACAAAAAATGTTAATAAGAACAGTTGAATGAGGGTTTTTGTCATGTTGTATACTTTTCAGGGTAACAGGCTATTCAAAGAGGGAAAATATGAACTTGCTAAGGCGAAGTATGAGAAGGCATGATTTCTATCTTCTTTATATGTTGCTCTAGTAATCTCAACCATAAAACTATTTGTTGTACCTTATACTGGGTAACTACAACTTTCTGAAGTACCGAAAAAATAATCTGCGACCAAAATTTTAAGTTCTCAGTTATATGTATATTTAATAAACGGGAAAGCCATGTTCTTTATTGATGAAAAATATTGTTCCATTTCTATGATCTATTCTAGCAATTCTTCACCGGGTTCTTCGGGTATTTAATAAACAGTAAAGCCATTTTCTTTATTGAGGAAACACATTGTTCCATTTTTACGATTTATTCTAGCGATTCTTCACCAGGTTCTTCGGGAATATAACCATGTGAACCCCCAGGATGATGAGCAGGGCAAAATCTTTCTGAATTCAAGAGTAAGTTTGTCCGGTAATCTGGGTAGAAATTCTTTTTGCAAGCTTCAAGATCACTTTAGTTTCAATTATGTGGTGACTTGATTATACTTGATTACATTTTCCTGCTCCGGTTCAATGTGCATGCTCTTCTATAGTTAGTTGCTGTGTTCCCTACAAAGTATCTAATTTTGTAATGCTTACAGAACTCATTGCACTTAAACGTGGCGGCCTGCTTGCAGAAAATGGGTGAATACAGGAAGTCAATTGACGTGTGTAACAAGGTATACTTATATTGTAAGAGTATATCTTGCATTTGTTGATATTGGATATATTCGGAGAAACATATCTATTCCTATACCTTTGCTGAAGTCTTCGTTCATGTATAATTCATGTCACTAAGTTATTCTTGTGCTTCCTATTGCCAGTGTTGGATCTCATGGTCATATTTTGTTTGGAGGTATTTTCATAATTTTTATGTTTTTATGTTTTATCTGTTAATTCTGTGATTTTGGACAGGTACTAGATGCAAATCCTGTACATGTCAAAGCTTTATATCGACGTGGCACGTCCTACATGTTAGTGGGAGATTTTGATGAAGCAAGGAAAGATTTTAATAAGGTTTATTCAATTTATAACATCTGCCAATTCTTATAAACCATTCAGTGTACTTGCTTTGGGTACATATAGACTGCAATTGGTGACTGAATATGCCTGCACTCGACATTCCAGATGATTAGCATTGACAAGTCTTCAGAGCCTGATGCAAATGCTGCTCTTCTCAAGCTAAAGCAAAAGGAGCAGGTCAAAATGACAACCCAATTGCACTCTTATTACCAAGTTTTTATGAAGTTGCCACTAAGTTATATAGAATTTTTTATGACGTTTTATTGACGCATGAGCAGGAGATAGAGAAGATGGCTAGGAAGCAGTTCAAAGGACTATTCGATAGGAAACCGGGAGAAATTTCTGAAGTGGAAACAGAACCGGGAGAAAGCCAGGCTTCTATTGAGCAGAACCAAGAAGTTGGTGGGTTAAGGCAGCGTAAGGGTGCACAAGTAGGTCGAGGTGGAACACTTGATTTCGAAGAAAAAAAGAGAGGGTTGTTTGCTGGCCTCTGGCCCTCGGGCAGAAGAATCTTTACGGCTCTTGGATTGAACAAGTGCACGATATTGTGATGCTTATGGCTACGTGAACGATGGAGATGACTACCCCAGAAATAGAGAAAGAAAAAAAGTTTACTCTCTGTAGGCTGTGAGCTTGACATTACATTTGCCTAAAAAAGGTCGAGTAATTATTCGCTACTTTTTTTTATTTTTAGAATAGACCAATTTCAGCGCGCGATATGCATCTAGAATCACGTCGTGATCAGGGAATGCAAATTCCCTCATGGTTCGTTTCGAAAGTGCGATTTGCGGAAATTCATTAGTTTCGGAGTTGTCATTTCTTGTTGATGAGGTTGGCATTGTCAGGCCTTTGGACTTTCCGTGCTTGAATTTTGGACTATATGTTTTATTTATTCTGGAGCTTTGTTTCCCACTTCGTTGCCTAAGCAAAGGAAAAAAGTGTTCGTAGTGTTTTCCGCTCTGTTATCTAAAGCAAAAGGGGAGGGGGAAAAAAAGAGTTGATAGGATTGATGCTCGCAGTCAAGTATGGGACAAATTTTTGAATTAGACCGACTGCAAACAAAGTTATCAAAATAAACGTAGTCCCATAATATTTATCAAAATAGGTTTATTTTCCGTCTCGTTGACTGAAATTAAGTCGATTTTGATAATTATTTTAGAAAATAGGTTAATTTTGGAAAAAAATCGCAAACTCTACGAGATTGGGAATCTTAGGGAATTTGATACACAATTTAACTCACGAGATTACCAATTCCGTGAAGTTCGGAAATATATTTTTTATTAAAACCGATCTAATTTTGATGGCGTGGCTGAAACTAAGCCGATTTTGATAAGTATTTTGCAAGTAGGTCTAAATTGATAATTTGATTTTTGAAAAGATCTACTTTAAAAATTTGTCCTAAAATATATGGTTCCCTAGGAAACTTGATAGGTACAACTGTATGAAGAAATATTTGTTTTCCCTTGCGGTGGAGTTCTAGTTTTTTAGTTAAGAGCATGTTATATTCAATCTACCATCTATAATGATGCATCCAATGCGATTTTTATAGAAGATTGGTCTGTCAAATACGATTTTCATATTAAAAAAAGGATGACTGAGGAAGAAGCTACCATCTATAATGATGTATCGAATTTAATTAACATTAATTATTGCGATTATTGCACTAGTTACATGAAACCACTGGGTAAAAATCTAGAGAAATTAAATTGGACTGTCTACAACGTAATCATGCGCATAGATAACTCATAATCTTTTAACTGTAGGTAGAAGATCGATGTTGGATCGGTATCCTTGCAGTAGATAAGCAGTTGCAAGTGTACTTCTTCAGTCCTAAAATATTTGTCATTTATAGTTGATTATATCTGTTTTGCGCTCAAGAAGAACAATCGATCTCAACCATCCCCCAAATATTTGACAATTAAGGTTCATGTAGTGATCTCTTTATTATTTATTTATACAATGGAGATCCGGATACAAATAAATAACCGGTAACTTTACGTAATTTCTCTTATGGTAGGCAGAATATCTAAATTCGGTAGTAATGAAAATACGATACATGCATGGGAAAAAAGGAATTAATGATCAAACACATTCACGTATAAATCATGATCCGACATTAACATGTAGTAATAAACATCCACGACATAACCCACGATGTCTATTTTAACATTTCATCGGAGGAACCGCCGTCTGCTGATCACCAGGCTGGACCCCAACATTCACCGGCGACAATTTTGGCACAAAACCGCTGCCGAACACGAGAAACCCGACACCATGTCCAGCGATCGCTACAATAAGCACCCCAACGTTAAATGACATGACGGCGAGCATCACCAGATAAGAGAGCCCGGTCCTCAAAACTACCAGCACCGTCGACGTCAGCCCCCTGTGAAATATTCCTTGCCGTGGACGAGCGACGGGAGCGTAGGAGCAGCACTCGACGAGGAAGGAAGCGAGGAAGACGAGCAGGAGAGCGAGGAGGTACATGCCGACACCATGGTCCCCCGGCCAGCCGGAGAAGAGGATGTCCACGTGGCTGCCCCAGAAGAATGTCATGTGCATCATCTTGCTGCTCATGTCCATCGTGCCCGTGCCCGTGCTGTTGTACATCGTGGTTTCCATGGGAGTGAATTTGTACGTAGCCAAGTTTTTGAGGGGTAAATTAAGAGAGAATTTGTATTTGTCTCATAAAGTTTTGATCCATGTTGAGAGTAGCTAGTATATATAAATACGCTCATGAGCAGGCCGATGCCGTTTTGGGAACGGACATCTGGTTTGAGAGTGATAGGATGAACCACAGCTTACAAGAATTGTAAATTTTTACGTGTAGGGTTTTGTTCGTAAATTTGCGCATGCAACTGCTAGAGTAGTGTTATATGCCCTTAAACATCCAATACATTTTTTATTGAATATTAATTAAGTTTATCTTTATAATTTGCACATGTTGTTTGGTATCTTTTATATAATTGTTATATCATTCTTAGAGATTATTTTGTTAGATCATGTACTGTGATGGTCACTTGCTTGGAGATATGATCTAATTCAGAGATTTCTTAAATTTGTGCTTAACTTATAACTAGTAAATGATAGCTTTGTTATAACAGGTTATTATGCATGACAACGACATATGAGATGTGATGGTTGATCTCAGCTATCGGGAATGAAGATTCCCTGGGTGTATGTCATAAGCGCATATTTGATATGTGTAGTACAAGACCTTATTTGGATTCTCTAGGATGAGTCACCTAAGAGATGGAGAATTCGAATTGTTACATGGTCCCTTAGACTTGATGATATTATCATTTTCGATTTGATAATCTAATACTTTGATATGATGGTTAAGCTTGTTTTACAAGTGCTATACAACCTAAAATGTTGGGTTATTAGATTTCATTTAGGAAAATGATGGATATCTAGATAGGATCCAGTATACTCATTTTTATGAGTTAATTTATTATGCATATCCCGTGAAGATATTAAATTCCCGTTGACGGGTGATTTTTTTGAAATTATTTTTCTAAAATTATTTTCTTATAAAATAAAATATTTTAATGTTTCAAAATAATTTTTTATTTATGTTCATGGGATTGCAATTTTAGGATTGAGCAAATAGGTGATTCGTCCTGCTCAATAAAGTTTCATAAAATAAATTGATACTGGAGGGGACTGAATGTAAGATAATATTATTCACAAATATTTAATCTCATATTATGGAGAAGCTTTTATGAACAGTTGGTCTATAGGGATTTGATTGTTAAATTAAAATTATTAATTTGATTAATAATTGGTTCTCACTAATGTCATTAGAAGAGGTTTATATGCAATACAATTCTATTTCTATCCTAATTGTTATGGAAATAATATTCTATCTTTAAATGTTATGGATAGAGTTTTAAACAATTAAGAATTGTTTTAAAATTGAAATCTATAAGGAAGGTCCAAATCCTATATATAGGGTTCATATGAAGCCTTGAAAAAATATGAGAAAAAGAAATAGATTTTGAGAACCTATCTTTCAGTATTGTTCCTCTTCGGTGACGAGTGGATTTCAGTTGGAGGCTTTTTCTCTTGAGGAAGCTATTTTGTTTTGATCTTGGGATGGATTATCAAAGAAATTCAGAAATCGTTTCAGGTATTTTTCTAGATTTTATTAATTTCGATTAATCTACATGATATGCAATTTTTCGCTGCATTGTATGTTATGTTTCCAACAGCAACGACGTAGACGAAATCTTTGCTGGCCTTTTTAATTTAATTTAATTTTGTTATCATTTGTTTATTTTGTGCAGACGGTGGATCCCATGAATATGACGACGAAGTTTTGGTGATTTAAAAGCGACCCCCTCTAGCTATAAAATATGCAATCCTTGGAGGATGGGTTAAGGTATATATAGATTAGTGGTATTTAGTTAGGATCCAGTATCCAGCTCCAAATTGCAAAAGGTAAAACAAGAGGGGAAATTATATTTTATATAAAAACAAAAAAAAAAGTAAAATGCGACGCACGTCGTGATCTTCTTTCGTTATTATATTGCCTATAGTTTTAGATAAAAGTTGTAGCCTGATATTGAGTTATTTTTTTAACGTTTGATATTAGAGAAATTAAACACGTCATGCGTGAATCGAAGAACGTCACTTGAGAACGGATTATTTCCTTTTTCGTCTTCTATTTTGGTGAATTAAAGAGGAAGCAACAACCTAGCAATGGTATATAAATGTTCTTTTTAGTACATTATATTTTAATCGGAATGTGATGCTTTCACTTTTAAGTGAGGCCTCTTATGAATGATTTAATGAAAATGCTCACGGAAAACTATATGAGAAGGAATATGATAGAAGAAGAGTTTTTCTAGAAATTAATCCTATCCGTTTCTAAACATATATTTTTTCAATATTCAATGTCAAAATTCATACTTTATTCCACATGCAAGAAAACAAAACTTTTTTAATGAAAAAGGAAAGGGGGGGGATGTGAGAGTTAATAGTCTAATCAATACAAGAGCCCGTGTAATTAAGCGTATTCCATCTCTTTGTGAAAGAGATATCCACAAGTAAAAGTCCAGCCTGTATAGGCCTCCTTGAAGTCTTAATATAAGGCCCGGTCCAATCCATTAACGCGCGCAATCGACAGATTCGTGCGAGAACTATTCATTAGAAGGCATTTATATGACGTTCGGATGCCTTGTGAGATTTTTTACGATTTCCCTTTGTTTGGTTTGAATTACATTCTGATCTCTTAAGAATTTTGTATTTTCCAGTAAATTCTCTTCTTTTTCGTGAATCACTGTAATATTCTTCATGCTTTTAATTGTTTTCTTTTTAAAATAAGGGCCTTAGAGCATTTTATTAATATAAATGGTAAAAATGGTAGGGGTAGAGGTGTCCAAATGGGCTTCGCGTCCGGATCCATGCTGACAGGGCTCCGGGCCCGGTCCCGACCAAGGTGGTGAAGCCGGCCCAGCCCGGTTTTTAATTATATACATATTATATATATTTTTTTATTTTTATATATAATTATAGTATAATATGGTTATTAATGTATAGTTATATATATTTTAAAGTGTACATTGTCATTAATATATACTTTTATATACTTACATATATATTTCTAATGCATACTATATATATAATTATAGTATGATTTGGTCATTAATGTATACTTATATATAATTACATATAATATATAGCTATAGCTATATACTAATATGTAAGTATATACTAAATACATACTTATATAAATATGATAAGATTAATCTAATTTTTTAAATTAAATTCTAGCAAAAAAATTACAAAAATACAAAATACAAAAAATACAAAAAATACAAAAAAATACAAAAAAATCCGAGCCGGCTTGGAGCTTGCCCCGAATCAAGACCCGAATCTGGCCCGGGCACCCCGGATCCGGGTCCGAACAACGCATTTTGCCCGGCCCAGACCAACCCGTTTGGATAGAACTAGGTAGAGGATACAAATTATAGAAAGAAGAAGAAGGGGGAAAAACTATGGCGTTGCTGGTGGGGAGAGTTAAAATTCAACAAGTAGGCTAGAATTTTGAATGATCTTTTAACACTGTAGAGATCTTTGTCTTGAAGATTCTTTTGTTTCTGTCTTTCCAAATCAATCAAAAGATCGCAACGATAGACCATCCAAAAAAACAAAAAGCAAAAGAAAAAGATCGTAATCATCACACAATCCCATTCATGCTTTTTAAATATGCAAGCAAATAGAAAAAACAATTAAAAAAAAGTTAATAGCATATCCTGCAATTTGAAACTTTTA